AAAACTTTTCTCACTTTACTTAGATACTTTGAGTGAATTTTTGAGTATTTGTACAATAATGAACACCCAGAAATCCTAATACTAAGACTCCTATTTATAACAAGTCGAAATAACTGTCTTCAACAAAAATTCCTCCAAAAACGGACACGTTTCGCTCTGCATGCTTTCATTTCGCCACGGCTCTCCACGCGTCTTTTCTGAGAAATGGATAAGGACAAAAGACATTTATTTATCCGTATTTTAAATTTCAAACTTCTGTCGAAGGAAGGCTTCAAACATTCTTCATAGAATTTGGTTTTCCATAGTTAGAAAATATTTCTAAGTATTGTTCAGACATCTCTTTTATTGGAAACTACTTCGACCAAGCTTCTTACACACGCTCCTGTCGAAATCAGCAAAAATTCAAGAAACTTAATTTTCACTTAATGTCTTTAAACAAAAAGCCTGTCGTCGAAATTTTCAGCCAACAATATGTAGATAATACAATGGCTACTGCATCACATGTAAATCCATACTTAAAATCAGGGTCTGCAATTAGCAACCATGGTCGAATGGCATAACCACTAGGAGGGTTAGCGTATATTCCTCCAGGGATTTCATCCTTAACCAATAATTTTCTCCAGTCTGTAAGACAATAGTTGGACGAAAGTAATCATGAAATGGTTAACATGTTGACACAAAAAATAGGCACAATATTCAATCTTTTGATTCCTAACAGTAAACACAGTTACCAATAGTCAACACAACAAATGGGTAGAATTAATGATTTCTTTGGGGCTCCTCCAATGCATATTTAGTAAGTGTATGATAACTAAATACCATGGTATGTGATACTTTTCAAACCACCCATACCTAGGGTAGTCGAGGGAAACACATGCCAAAATGGGTCTGAGGTAATAATGGTACATACAAACCAAGATGTTGACCAAGTAGTTAGAAATGCCCAGCAAAACAATTTGGCTGGACAAAAAAAATATAACTAATATGGTCAAACAAATTCAAGAACCTTCTATGGCATCCGATTAATGAGATATAATGCTATAACAACATAATCAGTCCAATGGTGGTGAGGCACATATGCTCCAAGTAAAATAGCACGTGCAGTTTCAAGGATGTGGTGATTTTTTAATTATGCAATGCCATTTTGTTGCGGAGTTTGGGAAACATGGTTTCATGAATAAGTTTGTGTTTCTTGACATACTCAATGAATTGGTAATTTACAAACTCCCCACCATTATCAGAGCAAATGATCATAATTTTCTTTGAATATTAAGTTTGAATCATTTTATGAAACTGTTGAAACATGTGAAACACTTTACTTTTTTTGTTCCAATAAATAAATTCAAGTCACTCGAGGGCAATCATTAAAAAATATCACAAACCACTGATAACCAAAGATAGACGATTTTGGGGATGAACCACATACATCATAATGGATTAAAGCAAAAGGAACATTAATTTTATTCATACTCAATGAAAAATTGGCTTGATGACTCTTGGCTAAAATACATGCTTCACATTTGAAGTTCAATAAAGATGTATATGAAAATAAATTGGGGAATGCATGTTTTAGGTAGCCAAATGAAGGATGGCCTAATCGACGTTGACAAAGTACAACTTGTTTAACTTTGTTGTTTCTTGGATAATGCATGTGGTGTGCTCGACCTACACTGAAATCCTCCATATAGTAAAGCCCCCATCTCTTTGTACCACGCCCAGTGTTTTCCTTCGTGAGAATATCCTGAAGGAAACATACATATGTATAAATTATCACAACACAATTCAAGTCTTTAGTAACTTGACTCATTGATAGCAACTCATGAGATAGAGAGGGAACAAGAAGGGTATTAGAAAGAAAAAGGGCTAGTGATAACATTACAATCGCAACCTATGTTACTGACGATAAACCACCATTTGTGTTGACAATACTTGAGCATCGAAGGGTTGAACGTTCAGAAAAATCAGTAACATCAAACTTCATATGATATGTAGCTCTAGTATCAAGTATCCATGCATTAAAGTCATCATCATGATTAAAGAAAACTAGAACATTACCTTCAATGGTGTGAGAAATTTATGTCGAAATGAGGGGAAAATGTGGTTCGATTGTAGCTATTGCAGTTTTTCCCTAGTTGTTATCAGTTGTATCACAAAGCTTTCAAGCTTGAAAGTTTATCCACCAATTTGGATGACTGTGAAGCTTGAAACAAGTCTCATGAGTATGTCTGGTACCTCCACAATGAGAATAGTTAATGCCATCAGATGAGTTTTTGTGTTTGGAATGAGAAATTGCCTTGCTGCTCTGTAATTTGAGACTCATAGATGCGATAACCGTTCCAAATAACTCATTGGAGTTGTCTGTCATCATTTCCTGATGAAAAGCTTCCATTCTTACATGTTCACATGCTTGCTCCACCATTGGAAATTGTTTCATTTGTAAAACATCACTTGTGATATTATCTAAGCGGTTATCAAGTCCATTAAAAAATGCATACATTCGTTCTTCTTGGACAAGGGTATTGTAGTGTTGGATATAAGTTGGGAATGCAATGGATTTGGATGACTCAAATCGATCTCACGCTAGAGCCCTTGGAGATCGGTATAATATTTTTCAAGAGAACTGCCAGCCTGTTTTACGGTGTTACCTTTTGCCGAAGGTCATGCACCTGGGAGGTGTCACTACCATCAAATTAATTGGTCACAATTGCATCCTAGCTTGGCAGTGAAGAATTGAATAACGTTGTTGATTGAAGAAAAGCCCATGGAGTTAATTATCCATCCCTTAACAATCACATTGTTAGTTCGTCAACGTCGAAGTCTGTTTGAGAAGGTTGTGCAAGGTCTCCATTTATAAATCCTAGTTTGTCTTTGCTTGAGATATACATCTCAACCACCTGAGAACAAAAAGGATAGTTGTTGCCATTTTACTTGATGCCAATCGGTGCCACCACACAGTCATAAATAAGTTGTGACGACAGTTCAAAACTTCCGTCATTTTTGTCGTCAACTCAATAAGAATAGAAGACGAAGAAGCGTCATCAATATTAAAATCTGAGTCAACCATGAATGATGAATGAAGGGTGTTAGTGCATGTCAGGATTAAAACCTAGCTCTGATACCATGTCAAACTTTTTTATATTATTTATATATATCTTTTACAAGAGAGGAATCAATAATATATATATATATATATATATATATATATATATATATATATATATATATATATATATATATATATATATATATATATATATATATATATATATATATATATATATATATATATGTAAAACTCTATTCCTAATTACCATAATCAACTCATACTAACTAATAATTAATAATTATATTCTTTATTATAGGTCCAACTCAGGCCAATAGTTACTTTGAAGTATGTAGACGAGCATCTTCTCCCGCACTTTGTCTCATGTTGTCCATTTTACTTTAATCAAAATTAGACTTGTTTCCAAAACGCGTATTAGGGGTGGACAGAAAATCCCTAACCGACCGAAATCCGTCTTAACTGGTAAAAAATGTGAGAGCGGTTCGGTTCGAAACGGGCTTACGGGTCCACAAACCACAATTTTCAGTTACCAGTGGGTTTACATGGACGAAATCGGATTAAAATCTATGATCCAACTAAAACCATTACCGACCGAGAAATAATAAAGTTTCTGCAATACTCATAATCAAGTACACAGCAACACATAATAGACTACTTTATAGATTGTTCATTGCATAATTTTTTTAACACTACTTGTCAAGTCCCATCTTTCATTTACACACCAACTCTCTTCATCCTTCATTTCTCTTATTGTCATTTTCCTCCTTCATCTCTCTTCATCCTTCATTTCTCTTATTGCCATTTTCCTCCTTCATCTCTCTTATTTCTCTATCATAGATCTTCCACACCACTGTCACTTGTTTAATGTGTTTTTATTTTCTTATAAATTATGATACCTATTCTCCATATTTGTTCATGAAAGATATGTTACCAACAAAGAAGAACCATTTTAATTATTTTTTACTCAGATTCTAGATTTGTTTAAATTTAGGTTCATCTATGACGACTTCTTCTTTCTTTTGAGATTAAAGTTTTTCTATTTTTTGTTTGTCAATGTCACCCGGTAAACCCAACTGGTAAAACCGGCACCCGAGAGAATCCGTACCCGCCAAAATCAAAATTATAAATGGACGAAATTGGATTGTAATTTTAAACCCGTCGGATTTGTTTGGTGGACAACTTTTAATCTGGAATCATCCGACACCGACCGTTGTCCACCCCTAACGTGTATGGGCAACATGCATTGAAGTTAATTGTTTTGGGATCTATCTTAAAATAATGTGACTTAGAAAATGCAACTTGATGTTTGTATTATTATTTCCTCTATATAAAATTAATACCCAACATATATCTTAGGTTTTTAAGTAAATGCCTTCAAAGTAACGCTATTTCTTCTTCAGGACTACACCAATTTTCAATTCCTTCAGAATAGAGTCATTTTAACATCATCTAAGATTATTGATGATATAAATGATTACATTACACAATTTCTTTCGAATAACTAACTATATTTCGCCATTTTTTGTTAATGTATAATATCAATATTCACATAAAAAACAACAATTTCATTTAACATTTGGAGATGATAACTAGTTCATATTTGCATCAAAAAACTTTTTAGTATATAGTCATGAGTTGATTAGTATTTAGTACAATCTCTTTACCAATTGATCAATATTTTGGACACAATATTCAACTTTCAACAATAATACCAACGGCTATATAGTGGCATTTTTGTCATTCCAAATCAATTGAATGGCACTTTAGCAGAATAACGATCACTACATGGTAAATTCTCTTCATTCAACCTTCCTTCCCGCAAAACAAATCACATGAATTTCCTGATTTACCCTCAAAACTATACTCAATTTTCAAACCTTATCCCACTCTGAAAAAACAGTTCTTTCTTTCTTCTCTGGTTTCTTGTTAACGATCCATGGAACTAACCATGGCGAAACACGGTTTTCTAAGAAACATTCTCGTTCGCGTGTTTTCCTTCGCTGTTCTCATCTTCGCAGCACGTTTCGCAATTATCGTCACCGTCCGCGGCGGATCCTGCGACTCTTCTGATTTCTGTTTCTTTTCCGAAAATCTGAATGTCACCGCTCCCTCTCATCTCGCCGGCACAGGAGATCCATTTTCCGGCAAGAATTGGCGCCGCTCCGTCGAATACTACGCCGCTAGTTTCCAGGATCTGGTCGCAGAGGGTTCGCTCTCGCCGAATTCTAAAGCTCTCTGTATCGATACTCCCACCGGAGAAGACGTGTTAGCATTGAAAGAAATCGGCGTGGTTGATTCCGTCGGGATTTTCAAGAAACCGTCGCCGCCGTTGATCGTTCATGGAGAAGGCCACCGGCATCCTTTCCCTGAAGACTCCTTCGACTTCGAATTCTCCGGCATTGGCGGCTTGGAAAATACCCCTAAACCGGCGGAATTCGCCGCGGAAATCTCCCGGACTCTCCGACCCGGCGGATTCTTGGTAGTTCACACGGCGGCCAGAGACGCTTATAGCTTCAATTCATTCCTCGAATTATTCAGTTTCTGTGAGTTGATCAGAACAAGAGAGATAAACGGTGTTGATTCATCGACAATTCTCGAGATTCTGATGAAAAAGAAAATCCCCAATTTCAAAACCCTAAATTCACCCCCAATTTTCAATTCAGTGAAAAAATGCTCTTTTCCAAGGTACAAACGTGAAATAGTGAAAACTGCAGAAACATTGATACTACAAGAGCCACTGAAACCTTGGATTGCACTGAAAAGAAACTTGAAGAACATAAAGTACTTAACTTCATTGGTTGATATAAGTTTCAAGAACAACTATGTGTACGTTGATATTGGAGCTAGAAGCTATGGTTCAAGCATTGGAAGCTGGTTCAAGAAACAATACCCGAAACAGAACAAAACATTCGAGGTTTATGCAATTGAAGCTGATAAAACCTTTCATGAAGAGTACAGAACAAAAAAGGGTGTAACTTTGTTACCCTATGCAGCTTGGGTTAGGAATGAGACACTGTTCTTTGAGATTACAAGAGACCCAAGTAAGAAAATCATGATGAATGGTAGAGGAATGGGGAGGATTAACCCGGTTCAAACATCTTCGAGCCATATGGGTGATAAGGATAAGATTCAAGGCTTTGATTTTGCTGATTGGTTGAAAAGTGTTGTTACGAGTAAGGATTTTGTGGTTGTGAAGATGGATGTTGAAGGAACTGAGTTTCATTTGATACCTAGGTTGATTCAAACCGGGGCGATTTGTTTGATTGATGAGCTTTTTCTTGAGTGTCATTATAATAGGTGGCAGAGATGTTGTCCTGGTCAGAGAAGTGCTAAGTTTCAGAAAACATATTCTGAGTGTTTGGATTTGTTTACTTCACTCAGAAATATTGGAGTTCTTGTTCATCAGTGGTGGTGAATGGTGATAATCCATAGTACAAACTTGTGTTGTGTGTATATTTTTTCTTCATGTTTTTGTCACATTTTTTGTATAGGCTTTTATAAGATTAAATTGATTCTTTTGTAGATTCTTTTTTTAGTCCATTGTTATTATCAAATGCAAATGAAGAGTTTCATGAATCAAAAGATTTTGTTTATCATATTGGTTTCTTCTTTCAACTTGTAGCATTTTGTTGTTGCTGATATCTGTCTTAATGATGCTTCTTATTTTTCTTGAGTTGCATGTTTAGTGTAAGGTTAAAGATATTCTAGTAAAATGTAACACTGATGTAGGCATGAACTGAACAAAACACAGCTACATCACTTTTGCTTCTTCTGCATATCTGCTGGAGTTGGATTACTGCATTTTTCTCACATAAACTTTAGCATGTATTCATCATCATACCATATGTTTCCCCTCTATAGTTTATATACAAACAGTAACCAAATTAAAACTATCACAATGGTTATTACATACAAACAGTAACCAAATTAAAACTGTCACAATGGTTATTGATAAGTGAGTCTGCATTAAGAAAGCTACCATGCATTCAGATATATATTTTTTTTAAGTAAATTTTAATGGAATTAAACATCCATATGAGCAATATTCCTAATGGGCTTAGGGGACTCTTTAAGATAATTGTTTTTCCTGTAAAAAACTAAAACTAACCTTATAATTCGAAAATTTCGGATGTACTACATTTACATTAGTTGTTGCGCTAGATCCTAAAACTATGTAAAATAAAAAATATAGAAATACATTTTCGTGTTACTTACGGAGATGCATCTCCGGACACTATTTTTAATCAAATACGCGTCAAAGTATCTTCTCCTTCCTGATTTTTCAAAATACTCTCTCAACTCACTCTCTCCAAATTCTCAAAATACTCTCTCAACTCACACTCTCTCCAAATTCTCAAAACCTCTCAACTCTCAAACTATCAACTCACAAACTCTCAAACTCATTCAACTCACTTTCAAGTTTCTACCATCAACATCCAATCGATCAAAAAAGTCAACATCAAACAAACATTTAGTAAGTTTTTCATTTCTCTATACTTTTTTGAGTTTTATATAAATTTGTAGAAATTGAGGATTAGGTTATGTAAAAAGTAGTTTAAATGTTATTTAACTGAGCAATGTGTATGATAAGTAGTTTATATGATCAATGCGTTTTTTAAATGTTTGATTCAAAGGCATTTTCATCATTTTTCGTTCTTCTGAGTTGAAAAACAATCAGAAAATGAATCTCCGTTTTTTTTTAACATTTTGATTTCTAGAATCTGGAGACGCATTTCTGGATTTTTGCTGTCTGTATTGTTTGACTTTATTTCATCGTGTTTCATCCGAGTAATGCTTGTGCGGTTTAATTATAGGCATTATGGCTGATAGACATGATAGATTGAGGCACGACAGAGTTGCGCAACATTCATCAGTTAGGAGGAAAAGAGCTCGATCATCGCAGGAACCAGTCGGTTCTAGTTCAGTTGATGCGGATGCAACAACTTCTGAGGCTCATGCATCCCCGCCTTCATCTTCCCATAGGAGGCATATGTCACCTCCTGATGCCCCAGAAGTCCCATATGTACATGCTGAGGAACCCGAGAGATTTGGACGAGGCCCTTTCGACATATCATTGATGCCTCTATATTATTTGGACCATGTTACCAGGCATGTGTGGGACGAAGAGGTAAAATTCAATTGTATTAATTCTTTGAAACACATTTGTTATAATATTTCAAGTTTTTGACGATGTCTTTTTTTCTACAAACCCGTGATACTTTAAAATGGTTTCAGGATGTGATGCAGTTATCTAGATTATGAGACTTGTGCATGACCAATTATGTTACGATTAACCATGGTATCTTATCCGCGTTTGTAGAAAGATGACACTCTGAGACCTCATCATTTCATCTTTCACATGGTGAAATGTCCATCACACTGGACGATGTCTCATGCCTACTGCATCTTCTGGTTAGGGGGAGATTATTAGACTACAGGAGGATTATTGGAGATGAGGTAGTGGAGATGATGGTGACCTATCTGAGAGCTGACCTAGGGGATGACCTGCAGGAGTTAGAAGTCATCTAAGAGTGTAATGCTAGGTTTTGATTCCTATAGAGGTTGTATGCATAACAACTTCATGCGGCAAAGCAGGTTTCTGGCGGTGATCATGAGGAGGTTATGTATTATAAAGGATACGCATTGAGAGCGTATCTGTTGTACTTGGTTGGCACATCCATTTTTGTGGACAAGAGTGACACTTATGTGGATGTGGTTTACTTGAGATACTTCGCTGACTTGGAGCAGATCCATGAGTACAACTGGGGGCCCACTTGTTTGATCTACATGTACTCCAAGTTTGATAAAGGTTGTATGTGGAAGACCAAATAGATAACTCACTTAGAGGAAATCAGACGACGAAGTCCTTCAAAGTGTATCTTGACCGCTTGGTAGCATAAGATATACACTTTCAAACATGCACTTATCATTGTCAGAGACATCCTTTGGATGACATAACATTCTACTCTGGATGGTTGGCTTGCGGGCCATGTCTGATGTTTTCTCGTTTGCTTGAGCGCATCATGCGACAATTCGATCGACTACATGTAGTTTGTTCCTAATGACCCTTCTGACTCTCTTCCTCTCGCTATGACACACAAATATGTGGGTGCGATGTATAATGATTAACTTAGTCATTTGGTACCGGATAGGGCATGTGGTTCCCTAGCTCCTAACGATTGGAGTGTTACATCCAGTGGTATTCCAAGGTGTCATGTCCTTATATGACACCAAATGATCCAGGTGATCCACCTAGATCAACTCATCATGTGATTCTAAAGGAGGAGGAGGAAACTAGGGCATGTCATGATGTTGATGTGTTTCCTAGATGTCGACGTATCATGGATATGGCGCATGTGGGTATAAACACAAGAGTCTTTCTGGAAGTCTATGGCCATCCTTGATGAAGCACATACGACACTAAAGTACAAGAATCAACGTAGGAATATGTGCCCCGAAGTCCAACTGACATCCTTGATGAAGCACATACGACACTAAAGTACAAGAAGCAACGTAGGAATATGTGCCCCGAAGTCCAACATACTCAGCAGTGTATAATATTTGTAATATGAGCACTATTATCGTTTGTCATTTATTTTGACTTCACTGTGTATTCCGAATTTATTCATTTATATAACATTTTCATATTATTTGATAAGTGTGTGGTTTAATTTATATAAAATTTAATATAATAGTATAAAGTATAATATATCGTCAATCACATTAGTGTATTTTTAAAACAAAGTCAAAATATGTGAATATGGAAATATATATATACTTATTTTATCTGAATGTTTATGAAAATGCATCTCCAAATCAATTTATGTCAAAAATAAGAATGTCTATGGAAATTTACTTTCGAATCTATAAATTTCTCATTCATATAAAATTGTTTTATCAACAAAATAAATTTATAAGCACTTTTAATGTTTAATTTAATGCATTCATATAATTGTTTAAAATTAAAATTAGCCATAAAACTAAAACATTGAAACAACAATGTCCCGTGTCAAATCCATAGTAACGTATAAGAGGGAACCAATAACGCTCTCTCTCTGACATCCATCCACACATGATCACCATTCTCTCCCAAATGGGTTTTTGTTTTTCCCTGTCTTCCTTCCCTCAAAGCCTCTCAACCACTCTCTTCTTGTTCCATCCATGAACTCCAACAAAGACAATCTTATGCATGATGGAACAGAATCACAGTTTGGAGGATCTTTCATTTGCCATACTGTTAACCGAATCAACTCTAGAGGATATTGGTTTGGAGAAAATCCCCTTGCTTTTTCCGTCCCTCTTTTCATGATCCAGGTTTTTATCATATTCATCTCCACAAGATTCAGTTACCTTATTCTCAAGCCCTTTGGTCAACCTTCTTTTGTTTCTCAGATTCTTGTAAGCTTTTTTCAATAACAGACACTTTTGTTTTTCTATCATTTTTTTTGTTATAACTAGAATCAGAATCAAAATCAATGTATTGATATATTTTTACAATGTTTGATTTTTTCCCTAGGGTGGTGTAACTCTAGGCCCTTCAATTCTTGGTCACTACTCAGCATTTACAAACAATTTTTTTCCGGTAAAAGGAAGAAACGTGCTTGACACGTTAGCTTTTTTCGGTTTCATGATATTCGTCTTCTTGCTTGGTGTAAAGATAGATCCAACCATCATTTTTCGATCGGGTAAAAGGACATTCGCTATCGGAATTTTATGTTTCTTCGTTCCGTATACTCTCAGCGGATTAGTAGCTGTATGCATCAACCATTTTGCATCATTGGATCATGATATTTCGAAAGGCCTTCCGACGGTGGTGGAAATTCAATGTATCACAGCCTTTCCGGTGATTTCGTGCTTTCTGACTGAACTTCATATCCTCAATTCAGAAATCGGACGGTTGGCTTCGTCGTCTTCGCTAGTATGCGATGTTTGTTTCAGTTTTGTTATGACGTTGAAGTTCGCAGCAAAACTAACTTCCTCAAAGTCGTTAGGTGTTACGGCTGCATCGCTCTTTTCGTCCGCTCTTCTAATTTTTTTCATATTTTTTGTTGTTCATCCAGCTGCATTGTATGCTATTAATCACACACCAGAAGGAAAACCTGTTCAAGAAATTTATATAACTGGAACTCTGATAACACTAATATTATGCGGATTCATCGGTGAAGTTATCGGCTTAGATGCAATTGTTGTATCTTTTATGGTAGGTTTGGCTATACCTGATGGTCCTCCATTAGGTGCAGCATTGGTGGATAAGCTCGAGTGTTTTGTTTCGGTCGTTCTTTTACCGTTGCTTTTTGCTACTGTTGGAATGAGGACAGATGTTTTTGCTATACAGAAGATGAAGAATTTGGGGATAGTTGAGTTGATTATTTGCATTGCATTTTTCGGTAAACTCTTAGGGGCTTTATTGCCTCTACTTTTCTATAGAATGCCATTTAGAGATGCAATTTCTCTTAGTCTTATAATGAATTGCAAAGGAACTGTTGAATTGGCATTGTTGATGAACTTGAAATTAAAAAATGTAAGTTAATGTTTTGTTATTCATGTCCATATTACAATTTCATATGCTTTGAGTAAATATCATTTTATTCCTTGAAATAGAAACGGTCGATCAATTTAGTCTCTCAAATTTCAGGGACTAAATTGACCGACTCTTACAATTTCAAGGACTGAAATGTCTGTCTACTCAAATCGAGCTAGTATATTGAATATAAGACTAATCAACGAAACACGTTTTTCTTAATGTGTTTACAGGTTCTAGACGATGAACTGTTTGCGATTCTGGTTCTCACTTTAATGCTTGTAACCGGCATTGTATCGCCTGTTGTGAAAGCTCTATATGATCCTTCAAGAAGGTTTCTTGCTTACAAAAGGAGAACAATATTGCATCACTCAAGCGAAGAAGAATTTAGAATACTAGCTTGCATTCACAAAGAAGATAATGTGTTGGCTGTTTTGAACCTACTTGCTGCTTCGAATCCAACCGACAAAAGCCGCATTGATTTAGTTGTACTACAGCTTGTTAAGCTTGTTGGAAGAGCTGCATCCGTGCTTGTTTCGCATAAGCCGCGCGATAAGCCTGGCGATAAAATCTTCATTCCTTTCACCAAATTTGAAGATGCTTATAGGGGAAAAGTAACCCTTCATTGCTATAGAGGTATATCACCCTATGCAACAATGCACAATGATGTGTGCTACTTAGCACTTGAGAAAAGAATAACTTTCATAATCATACCTTTTCATAAGCAATGGATAATCGGAGGGATGGCCGAGTCTTCCTTCGCATTCAAGCAACTCAACAAGAATGTTCTTGAGAAAGCTCCTTGCTCAGTCGGTGTCCTAATTGACCGCGGCAACCAGAAGAAATTCTGGTGTGGCTACATGAACGAATCAACATATCTAGTTGCCGTGCTTTTCTTTGGAGGCGCAGACGATAGAGAAGCCCTCGCGTACGCAAAACGTATGTTGGATCAACCTAATGTAAAACTCACTCTCTTTCATTTTTCGTCGGCCGAAAACGATGTTGTTGGAGGTACAGATAGAAGCAAAAGGCTTGATACTCAAATATTGAGTGATTTTAGGCTAAGTGGTTTTAGGAATGATAGAGTTTCGTATAAAGAAGAACAAGTTATAAATGGAAGAGACGTGCTTTCGGTTATCGAATACATGGAGAGTTATTACGATCTTGTTATGGTTGGAAGGAGACATGAAGATTCACAGTTAATGTCTGAACTTAAGAAATGGAAGCATGGTGAGTTGGGAACTGTAGGAGAGATTCTTGCTTCTTTGAACATTGGTGCTAAAACATCAATTTTGGTTGTGCAACAACAAACTAAATTTTGGGGGTCACGTGATCCAGAGGAATCTACACATTTGAGAAGAGTAAATATATAGAAATGTTGATAATATGACAGAAACATTCTTATGTATAAATTTTGTTTTTACTTTTTATGTAGATCATGTTTCTTAAGAACTTGCAAATTTGCTTTTATCCCTTCTTTGCATTGCTTTTGCTCATTTTTACGAAACTTCTTTGTATAAATCGAATATCCTCAGCATGCATCGAAGATTGAATTTCCCCGCTTCTATCGCAATACTTCGATTTTTTTCTTCCTTTTTCTTAAAACACTATCCCTCAACTAAGTAAAATCAGTCCTAACCTTAAGAGTTTAGTAGTTGAAACACCAAAACCACATTTTTTTCAAAATTCATATAAATGTTGTTTTGGTCACATTCTTCATTGTAATAATTAAAAAAAGGTTATATCATTCCCGTGGATCTATGCAGCTAAAGAGTTAATGACATGAAGTAGAGTTTACTTTCATATATGCATTTGACATTGAATACTCGTTTTTGATTGCATTTAGATTTTTTTTAATACACCTCAATTCATTTTTTTTTGCACCCTGGGCCTTGCTTCAAATTTCTTTTCACAATATATATCTCAGTTTCACACCCTTTGTTCTTGTGTTTTTTTTCTTATGATTAATTTTTGCATTAATTCTTGATTAATTTTAGTCCTGACTAATTGTGAAGTTGATCTTAATTAGTTATTAAATTAAGATTTTAGTTTTTGATCTTATTGGGTCAGAAAATGATCAGCAACCTGCCACGCGTCGTGAGCTTCTGTGTTCACCGGTATTGTAGAAAAGGAGGGGGTGTACCTGCAAGATACTCTGATGCTAAAGTGAGAAGCGGAATAAGAGAGAGCAACTACAGAAAGAAGATGTACAGTTCAGAATACCTGACCCTCTAGTGAAAGAGGGTATTAGTGTGCCCGAAGTGCTGGGCTAACAGTTACATTGCATTGGACTGGATTGTCAGGTCTAACACGAGTAACTGTCAGGGTCTATGTGGCGTAGGGAAGACCAGCACGTGGTCTTCACCCTGGTCCAACTGCCCCGTGATCCTCGGGAGAGGGAAGACCGGTTCCTTAAGACACAGGTAGTTGTCTAATGACGTGTCCCCGCGTGGGGAACACGTGGAGAATGTGGAGAAGGCGCGTGAGCTCTCCCTGTGCTAGGTAGTGGTCTGCCCGACTGTAGAGAGTATTGAGCGTGCCCGACGGGATGGAGGATTGGGCCTTGTTAGGCCTGCCCGACTGTGGAACAGGTGCTGACCCAGCCCAGAACAGGAGCCCCCTAAGTCGTTGCTCCTAACTGGAGTGGTAATAACTTAAGCGTCGGTCCCAACGCCGACGATGATGGATGCGGCTAGGTGTAGAAGCATACTTCAATCTCAAAGTTTTAATGATGTCAACAAGACTTAAGCTCATTCCATGTTTGCAAAAAGTCAAGCTTTCAAATTGATCAAGATACTTACACTATATACTCGTGGGGGTATATGTACTGTGAAGCTGCTTGCACTATATACCCGTGGGGGTATATACACTGAAGATAAAACCAGAAGCTTCTCTATTCTGAACTCTTCTCAGAAAGCAAGAGGTGCAAGCATATCATCAAGAATACATGATCAAGATCAAGGCTACGCATCATCGATGGAATATTGTCATGTGAATCAAGCTTCATGTGCAAATGATCGTACAACTTTCAAGACTTGGACACAAGGCTTTGGTATATCAAAACTCACTCCTTTAATTGATATACAAGTGTTCAAATAGTTTATCATATCAACATATTGCATTTGCATATTTTAAAATAATTTGGAACTGGTATAACACTTTTAACTCAAGTATTTTTCTGAGTTTTCACAGTGTTAACCGATTAACCATATTAGTTAACCGATTAACGGTCTCAAATTTTAAATTCTCAGGGCTAACGTTATTGTGTTAACCGATTAACCTATATGGTTAACCGATTAACACTTAACGAATTTTGAAAAATTGTTTCTTTTAAAATTCAAATCTTGTGTAATTGGTATACCTTTTCATTATTTGATTCATACACATTTATACCTTTTTGAAATGGTGTTTTGACTCATATAAATTCTGAACATTTCAAATTGAAAATAACCTCCAATAATTTTAAATGTAATCATTCAATCAAATTCACTATTTTTCAAATAGTTTCAAATATTTCAAAAAAGTGTTCATACTGTTCATACCATTTCATATCCAGAATTTTTGAACACTTGTATTGATATTGAAAAGTGAATTTTGATCAAAAGGGGAAGATCAATCATTGTATTCATATTATTATTGTATTACTCTCAAATCAAAGAGTTACATAATTGTTTCTATTGTGACTTGTGATCCATGATTGTTGGACACAAGGGTTAGTGCTTGCAAGAGGATTGTTCTTGCACACTAGTTGTTGAATAGTTGTTAGATAGTAGACCTCACCGGTTGATGGTGTGATAGGTTGTACATTCTAAAACTATAGTGAAAAATCTCTTTCATGTGGAAAGGGGAGTGGAGTACCTTCGAATTGTGAAGGGAACCACTATAAATCTCTGTGTCCTTTTTCATTATGCTTTTTACTGCTTTCATCATCAAGAACATAACCGAGTAAAATTCAAGAATCTGGAAAAACCGGAAAAAGTTTCTAAAGCCTAATTCACCCCCTCTTAGGCATACTCTGAACTTACAGTTGGCATCAGAGCAGGTTAAGGTAACCTGTTCCTAACGATCCAATATGGCTTCCGCTAGCACCAACCCGGTTTTTAAAGACGGTGGAAGTAGTAACAAACCCCCACTGTTTTCTGGAGAATATTTCGATTTTTGGAAAATCAGAATGAAGGCGCATCTTGAAGCCCAAGGAGAAGGTATATGGGAAGCAATCGAAGAAGGATCACACAATCCAGTAAATGTGGTCAATGGCGTTGGAACCGCAAAGTTGAAAAGCACATATGACGAAGACGATAAGAAAAGGATCCTTAATGAAAAGAAAGCAATCAACATACTCCAAAGCGCTCTCAGTATGAACGAGTTCTTCCGTGTATCACAGTGTAAATCGGCAAAGGAGATTTGGGACACCTTGGTGGAAACACATGAAGGAACCACAGAAGTAAAAAGATCAAGACTCAACACGTTGAGTCAAGAATATGAGATGTTCCGTATGCAGCCCGGTGAATCTATTGGTGCCTTACAAAAGAGATTCGTTCATCTAACAAATCATTTGATTTCTCTCGGAAAGACCTTCACCAATGATGATCTCAACCTGAAAGTCCTAAGATCCTTGACAAGGGAATGACAACCAAAAGTGACCGCTATTTTGGAAAAGAAGAGTCTCTCAACGATGACATCCGCATCCTTATTTGGCAAACTTCAAGAGCATGAATTGGAACTTGGAAGGCTTGAGAAGCACGGAAGTCAAGAAAAGAAGTCCAAAGGAATTGCCTTGAAGATTGACACAAAGGATGACAAAGACGATGAGACTTCCGAAGATGAAAATTTCATGCTTCTTGTAAAGAAGCTTGGTAAGTTTTTTAATAATAATAAAAATTCCTCTTTTCCTAAAAAGAATAGACATTTCAGGAAAAAGGATGCTTCCACATCGAATCAAGAAGTCACATGTTACAAATGTGGGAAGCAAGATCACATAAAGCCGGATTGCCCGAAACTTGCAAAGAAAGGAGGATTCAAAGGCAAGAAGGATTTCAAAAATAAAAAGGCTTATGTTGCTTGGGACGATAATGAGATAAGTTCATCATCGGAATCGGAAAGCGATGAATGTACAAATATGGCTCTTATGGCGTCACATCACTTCGATGAAGAAATTAATGAGGTTAGTAGCAATTTTTCAATTTATGACAATGATGCACAAGAAGTCATAGATGAACTTCTAAAAGAGTGCAAGACTTTGTATAAAAGCATCTCATCCCAAAAGAAAAGAATTTCATCTTTAGAAGAATAAAATACTGCTTTTATAAAAAACATTGAAAATGAAAAACAAAAATTAATGGATGAAAAACAAAGTCTTGTATGCAAAAATTGTGAATCCTTATCTTTTCAAATTGTTCAACTTAAAAGAGTTTTAGAAAGATATGAAAAATGTCAAATTGGCTTGGAGGAAATTCTTAGGTACCAAAGATATTCTAATGATAAAAGTGGATAAGGATATTCTAAGTTTTCCAAACCAAGCACAAAAGAAACCATTTTTGTGAAAGCAAGTGAACAAGTTGTTAAAGAAAAGGCAAACAATTCTAAAACTATGCATCAAAGTCATAAAAAGAAAAGAATTATGAAGAAAAAGAATTATGTTCCTAGATATAGAAGTCCTTTTCAACCTACTTATTTTTATTGTGGAATCAAAGGCTATACACCTAATGCTTGCTATGTGCGCAACATTGGTGTTGCTAAAGGGCATTATGTGTGGGTTGAAAAGGGTACTAACTATCAAGGACCCAAAGCAATTTGGGTACCTAACAATACTTGATTTTGTGTTGTAGGTATGCTTGAAGACAACTTCTAATCAATGGTATCTTAATAACGGTTGTTCAAAGCATATGACAGGAGATCTAAACAAATTTTCAAGTCTATCATTAAAGGCCAAAGGATACGTTACTTACGGTGATAATAATAAAGGAAAAGTTCTTGGAGTTGGAACCGTTGGTGCACCTCCATGTACAATAATCGAAGACGTTCTTTATATGGAAGGCCTTAAACACAACCTACTTAGCATAAGTCAATTGTGTGACAAGGGGTTCCGAATCAACTTCACAAAGGATGAATGTTTGATAGAACATGAAGTCACCCATGACATCTTGCTAAAAGGTAAAAGATTTAATAATATTTTTATGATCTCTTTTGATGACTCATCCTTGAAGGTAAAATATCTAATGGCGAACAACAACGAGGTGTGGCTATGGCATAAAAGGTTTGCTCACATTCACATGGAGCATTTAAACAAGTTGATAAAGCATGATCTAGTTGTTGGTCTTCCGAAGATAAAATTTATCAAGGATAAGTTATGCGACGCATGTCAAAAGGGGAA